AACCTACAAATTAATTAATTTGTAACCAATAAAAGTAATCTGTAACCTATAATTTGATGTTTTGTGACCATAAAATAAGTTGTATGACTCATAAATTTTGTAATTTGTGACCGATCAACAAATTGTGATATTTAAATTTTTAATTTGTTACCACTGGACGAACTGTGACCTATAAAAATTTTAAACCGTGAACTTAAATTTTTTATTTGTGACCAAATTGCATATATACGTGACCTTCATATATTTATTAATAAAACATAAAATTAATTANGACAAATTGCATAGATCTGTGACTTTTATATATTTATTCATAAAATATATAATTAATTAATTAAATTATAAATAAATTTTAATGAAAACCTGATTTTTGAAATTTAAAACATCTATCCTTAATTTTGAAATTGTGATACTTAAAAACCTGGTTTTTGTATTGTTCCCTAGATGTTACTCTTGCGGCTTTGAAGGCTGGCAATACACATAGGCTTTCAACATGATTACTTTGGATAAAAAAAATTAATTTTTTAATAAATTTTGATAAAAGTCGTTGAAATACATAATTAAGAAATAGTAAATTTCATGAAATGTCGATTGAAAATGAATTTTAAAAAAAAATTAGTTATAAGAAGTGAGGTCCAAACATATTAACATTTACAATTCCTTTAATAAAGCATAGAAAATTTTCCTAGCTATTTTATTTTTAAGATCATGAGTAATATGGAATTACACATACGGAGTAATGATGCCTGCAAACACCTTCTACCCAGTACAAGTACATGGGATTGTGATAGAAAAAGCAATTCTTCGTTATTCATATACTCGATTTATAACCTTCTCAAATCGAACAAAATATGGTTTTTTTATAGCATCACTAACCATTCCACACGTTGAACCTAGTTTAAACGCACAATTTATTCCACGATGACAACTAATTTAAAATATCGAAACCAAACTTGGACATATCAGCTCCAAATGGGGACTGACTCGCTGCTCACGGCAGCCAATATGACGTGTTCAATGAACTGTATGAGGAGCAAACATTTATTGACTTTCAAATTCCCACCCCACCATCACACAATAGCATTTTGATAACATAATTCAACAATACTAGATAACAAAATTAACATTAAACTTTTTATCGTCTTTAATCACACGGTCTAGTTTAATATACCAAACATATCAACATATGCTGCAGTTTAATATACCAAACATATCAACATGTGCTAAAACGGAGTAAGCACATGTTTAGGTATGCTTAACTTCTTAAAAGTTCCGAGTTATAATTCTTAATATACCTATAAAAATAAAAAGCAATTTTTAAACCTGACAAAGCAAGCACAATTTCGCCATTAAATCAAAGGCATGCATCAACTAATAGTAGGGGTGTTAAGTGACACGAGTTGCTCGTCAACTCACGTGCAAGATGATTGTCAACGGCTCACGAGCCGACTCAATCCATTTAACACCCCAACTAATGGTCAGCTATTTTTCCCTAACCAAATATAAAAGTTGGAAAAAATTCCAACCCTTTTTTGATACCTATTATTTTCAAAATATATTTTTCTCTGTTATTTTCAACCACAAATTTCAATAAAATAATATTGCACGTAAATCCAAATTTTTTTCTTATTTTTTAAATACACATTCTTCAACAAAATACTACTTCAAAATGTGTTTTGGACAAAAAAAAGGGACTCATGCGCTCAAAGACTAAGAAAAGAAAGAATTGAAGATCAAATATCAATTTGAATCATCCTAGCTTGCAGCCGGCCACTACAGTACTTTGCAATAATTGTCTATACAAAATTATTTGTTTGTTAAATCCGGCCGACAATGATAAAATACTCTCCTGAAGCCTGAGTTTATAAAAATCAATTTATCCCATTAATTTCTAAACTGAAACATTGAAGAGCTGAATAATATGGTGGGAAGAAAAGCCAATGCCTGGGCTGCTAGAGACTCCACTGGTCATCTCTCTCCATACTCGTTCCATCTCAGGTAGTCTCTTAACCACCTCCCCCAAACTTCTTCAAATCAATATAGAAAAAGATCAAAACTGGAAGTTGACAGTGTTGTAATGAACAGGGATACAGGAAGCGAAGACGTGGTTTTAAGGGTTTTGTATTGTGGAATAGACCACACCGATCTTCATCATATCAGGGGTGAACTAATTAGTAATACTAAGTACCCTATGATACCAGGGTATGCAACATACGACAAACATTACATGGCTTCATCATAGTTCATAGCATTTATACCACCATACTCGTGCACAATAAGCTGACATGATCTTATTTCATGGATTTTTTAGTCATGAAGTGGTTGGGGAAATTATCGAATTGGGCTCGGAAGTTAAGAAATTCAGTTTGGGAGATATAGTAGGCGTAGGCGGCATAGTTGGCTCTTGCGGGGAATGTTCTTTGTGCAAGTCCAATCTGGAGCAGTACTGCAGTCAAAGAATTTTACCCTACAATGATATCTACAAAGATGGAACTCCAACACAGGGAGGATTCTCTTCAAACATGGCTGTTCATCAGAGGTGTGCACATATAACCTACTTACATCACACAAAACACACACAAAGTTCAGGCACTTGATGCATTTGCAGGATGCAAACAAATATAGTCATAGAAAGACTAAATAAACAAGTCTCCTACCTAATAGCTCGAACATTTAAATGAGGTCTCAATCAATATGGAAACAGGTTTGCAGTCAAGATTCCAGAAAAGCTATCACCGGAACAGGCAGCACCACTACTATGTGCTGGGGTGACAGCTTATAGTCCTCTAAAACAGTGGAAGGGGTGCAATGAGAATGTGAAGGGGGGAATAATGGGCTTGGGAGGAGTTGGTCATCTAGGTGTTAAAATAGCCAAGGCAATGGGGCATCATATTACTGTTATAAGCTCTTCTAATAAGAAAAGAAAGGAAGCAATGGAAGATTTGAATGCAGATGCTTTTCTAGTGAGTACCGATGAGGATGAAATGAGGACAGCTGCGAACAGCCTCGACTACATTCTCGACACTGTACCTGTTTTCCACCCACTGCAATCATACCTTTCGCTGCTGAAAACACAAGGAAAGTTGATACTAGTTGGCGCACCCCAACAGCCTCTTGAAATTCAAGCTGGAGTCATGATAGCTGGTATGTTGTCCTGCATAATCAGACCAATCAATTTCTAATTACAAAAACACAAACAAGGACAAGTTATTTCTAATCTTCGGAACTAATATTATGCAAATTGCATTTTGTTTAATGTACCTAGGAAATAAGACAGTTACAGGAAGTTTCATCGGAAGCATGAAAGACGTGCAGGAATTATTGGACTTCTGGGCAGGAAAGGGAATGACGACAATGATTGAGGTTGTAAAGATGTCCTATGTTAACAAGGCATTTGAGAGGATGGAAAAGAATGATGTAAGATACAGGTTTGTACTGGATGTATCCGGCAGCAATGTTGAGTGACAGTGCACAATGCAATTTTAGAATTCAAAACCCTATTCTATACACCAACTTTGTCAAATTCTCTATACTGAGAAGAAGACAGTGCTTTTGATTTTTACTATGCTATTTTGGCTTCAGATAGCAATCTTAATAAAGAGTTATGGGTTGATTCCATAACTGTGTTCTGAAGTTGCTGAGTGATTTGTTGACTTCATGCCTACTGAAAGAAAAAGGAACTTAGTTTTTGATTTCCATTTGTCCAACTTAATGAAAAGGGAATTTCGTGTTAATTGAATAAATTACAAAATCGAACACTATATTAATCGGGTACATTTACAAGAAGATATGGGATAAAAAAAACGTAATGGAACACATATATTCCATCCATTTTCCTATTCTCTTGCACAATCTATTTGATATAACTTCACGGGTGTGAGCTCATCAACATTTCCAGCCAAAGGAATCATGGAGATTACTTTCCTGGAAACATATTCTTGATACGAGTAATTCATTAAAACTGAAAATTAAGAAACTGCTGGCTTACCATTCACAGAAGAAATTGTTCTGTGATACAATGTGCAGCTTTACAGGGGCTGCTGCACAAACTGATGCCAAAAATTTCTCGACAATCTTGCGAGAAAAAAGGAAGAGCACTGCTCAAACTGATGATATTCAGAATTCATAATAGCACCATCGAAGTATATACAATACAAGCTAATTCCAGAACCTTAACTTGGGCATCTAATCTTTTTTCCGGTATTTAAGTGTGGATGTTCGATGCCGATGTAAACCAAAAAATGCATAAAAAAGTAGGTATAATCAATCATACAGTGTCTCTAAGACTAACAAACTAAGTTTATAGAGTATATGGTACAGAGCCCAGCAGTTCTGAGATGTTAACAGATTCTAGCCTTTCACTTACCTAATGTCATCGTCAAAGAGCATGGATAATAACCAAAAACTGCTGTCTTTATTTTATACAATCACATGCAATTTATAAAAAGGAAAAAGGAAAATAAACAGCAATTGTTGCAACAACAAATTGGCAGTTTATCATGCAGACTATCATCATATAGTGGTGGGTCAAGAAACTCTGCCAATGCTTCTGCTACCTAACATGAAAGCTAGTATTATATTTGATGTGAAAACCAGTTGTTGAGTCAGCTATCCTTCCCTTTGCCACTTCCTCCAATTACTTTATGGTCATCATATGTAGCAAGAAAGAAAGTGCTTTCATTCTTTTGCAGAAACCTACATTAAACATACACCAATAAATAGGTCAAGCATTGCTAAATCAAAGATCATTCAGATTTAAATAGAGATTAATCTCTGAAGATAGGACACGCTGCTGGAAAATGACAGCCTAACTGGCCCATCGACAAAGAGATTACTTGGTAAGTTAGGTGATTGCTTAAAGGCAGGTATCTTCGGACACGGGTCGATTTGCATGGACAACAGGCAGATAAAAACTGACACAGGAAAATTCATGAAAGGTAATAGAAAAGTAAAAATAATATATAGATGTAAAGCGAGGAAACAAATGGGAAATAGAATCCATGTCATAAACCCAGATTGCCTCACTGAAACAAAGATTAAAAACTGCACATGTTCAAGGACCCATGTCAAAATAATCGTGTCATTATCTCACCAATAATGCAGCAATCTAAAGCAAGAGACTCTTGATCAATTTCAATAGTTTTGCTGAGACTAATAATGAAGGTGAGCCTCATATTCAACCCCAAGTTCCCAAAATCATCACAATTTATCATACTGGAGAACAAAATGATATCATTCTACCACATTAACACAAAACAAACAAATTGTGGGTCCCACACGGTAATTGTGGCTCCTATTTTATCTACATTATAAAAAAGCTACTTTTAAACATGACCAAGCAAGCACTTAATGAGAAAAAGAAATTAAATAGAGCTTATACTTGAGAAATTCGTGCAATTTCTGCTGCATCCGAATCAAAGTCTCCTCATCAATTTTCACATATGCCAACAATTCTGGCAACTTCACTGCAGAAAGTAGAAACTATATAAGCACAGTATTTCTAAAATTCTAATTAGACAACCACCACCTCGTTACCAATAAAAAAGAAAATAAAAAAATGGAGTTAGACAAGAAGATAAGTCTTTTTTTGAAAAGGTGGTACTATGATTAGAAGCTCACTGTCTCACACAGCAAAAAAAAAATCAATCTCATCAACAGAGATTGGAAGTTCATCATTTAGATAACAACACAAGGAATAAGCTTCTAATAATCACAAATCTTCCTGAAAAACCAAACTTGCTAAAGTGTAACACAAAATAAACTTACCAAAGAGGCGCAATAAATGTTCTGCACCATATATATATGATGGGGTGACATTATCTGAAACTGATTCATTGTACTGTTCGCGCTCCTTTTTGTATAATAGAACAACTGGCAATGCTTTGTTAAAATAACATCGCAGCCCCTTCAAAATTTCTCCAACTGCATCAGTCTTCCTGTACTTACAAAAAACATACTCAAGGACCACTCACCTAGTAACCTCTTGAATTCCAAAACCATATTAAATCAACTAATACCACCTACATGTAATGCTACTAATACAAGTATCTGACCGGGAACACTGCTATAAATCTGCAGCTAAAAACAAATGAAAAACTTGGACACAGAAATTTATGAACTATGTTCAATTCGTGATACTTATTTCCATAAGGCACGTCTTCCTTTCACTGGAATATAGTTATTCTGCTGTACGACATCTAACTAAACTTAACAGAATATGTTCCCCAAGTTTTGTATCAAAAGGGAAGAAAGAAGAGGAGAAAAAAAATCCTGATGGCCAAGATCAGTTTATAATTAATCCTGTAAAGTGCTTGTTAATATCACAAGTGACAACTGATCACACATTTTAAAAATATCCAAAGAATCAAGTTAAGAAAATTGATTAGATAAAAAACATTTTAGGGAGATTGCTTATTTTTAGCTTTAAGGAAACATATCAGCAAGGAAGGCTAGCTTTAAACTCCTACTAAAATGCCCAACTAAATATAAGAAGGTTACAAGTGGACAAGCAGCTAATAGCAAGAATACATGCTGTTGCGCAATCTCTAACACAGAGTGCCTAAGGCCGAAAATTCACCATCACGAATAAGCGCCACGGATAGAACCAACTAGGGGTACAAGTGACGTTGATCAATAAACAAAATTTTGAGAATTAAAACAGCTTCTAAAGCTAATTAGGATTCTGCGTAACGATGCTGAATAAATATTCTCGATAAGAAAGGAAAGAGAAAATGATACTGTCCCGATCCTTCAGTTGGTTGTCTCTTTTGTGTACCTTCCCTTATTCTAATGGAATTGCATGTAATCAGCCTTCTTCTGGACCTGTTCCTTTATAGGAAATAACAGGCCCTGGTCACACAGATAAACACAGACCTCTAGAAGAGATAGTGCAGTTCAAACAGTGCGTGCAAAATAACAAAATTCACAAGTTGATCAATCCTTTAGAAATTTAGAGGTAGAAACTTACGTGCCATCCTTTTTGGACCTGTAATCGAGGTACTTTGCAATAATATCTTCGACATTAGGAGATCGAGGAAGTTTTACAAGCTGCAAGAAAAGAATGAAATAGCAACCCTTTTATGTACTATCTCACAGGTCTCAAACACCAAAGACAAAAATTAAATTCACAAGCCCGCTTGCAACAGAGCAGGCCCATTAATTGCTCTTCAACAATCCCACGAAACATAACTTATTCACAGGGAAGATGAAGGAAGGACACTTCTGAGATGTAATACATCTAAATTGCATCTCAATACCGACATTATGACTCATTTCCCAAGCAGCAAGAGTAAAATACTTATGTGAAATCGATCATAAAATGAGTCCCGATAATAATTACTTTGAGCAATCCCTAAAAAGCATGATAATTCCATATTAGGAGAAAAATGAGCTGCAGTCCCATATTCTGTTGTGTCTTCAGGATGGAAGAAAACAGTGTTCAGCTAAAGCTTCAATTGAGCAAGGAACCAGGAGCCAGCAAAAAAGGATTCTTGTAACCAAGTCCCGATAAAATTGAACAACAGCATAACTATTAGCAAAATACATAAGTTCAATTGATTTATGTACGTTCACTTTTTATACCAAAAACAATACACTTCACTCCAAGACAATAAAAATCTATTTGACCAAGAAAGAACAAGGATTTATCTCTTCCATTCTAAAGTAAACAATTTCAACTGACTTTAGCAAATCAAAAGAGCGCTTCCCAGTTTGCATTCTATGATTTCATTTCTTCCATTCAAAAGTAACATTATTAACTGACATAAGCCAATCAGAAGAGTACTTCCCATTTCACATTCTATAGTCGACGAGGCGCTCTTAGTTACAAAATATTCTCATCAGCTAGGCTGGAATTTACGGTCAGTTGAGTGGAAAATAGGGAGTTTTTGTTTTATTGTCCTGTGTTTTCTTATTTGGTGGGGATGGATTTGGCAGCAACCTATACAAGTAGTGAAGTACCTTATTCTGCCGAGTAATAAACTCCCAATCATCAACCAATTGCTTCTTTAGAGTTGATGGAATTTGGATTTTGAGGAGTTTTTCTGCCGCTGAATTATTTTTCTATCAAAACAGAAAGACAATTAGGATTAATATAAGCACAAAAAAATCACAATCTTAACAAAGTAAAAGGGCCAGCTGCACTGCAAATGAAAGTCAATTGAGGCTTGTGTTTCCCACAAGCTAAGAACCAGCTGCTATTATCATCTGCAATTCTAAAGTTATAGTAAAGAGACTATAAAAGCACTCGACAATTTGAGAGGAGAATAGCAGAAATTTTGCAAATAAAATGCAATGAAATACATTAAACTCTTGACGCAAAAAGGAGATAATTTTAATCATTTTATTTTAATTAATTAAATGTGTTTACTTTGATTAGGAGTTATGCTTATTTAAATTAATTAAGATTTTACGGTTTGTTATTAATAAGCTTACGAGTTATGTAAGTGATTAGGCTTTTTGATGATTCGCACAAGCCAAGAACCAGCTGTTAGTATCATCGGCAATTCTAAAGTATCAAAGAGACTATGAAAGTACTCAACAATTTGAGGAGAGAATAGCAGAAATTTTGCAAATAAATGCAATGAAATACAGTGAACTCTTGACGCAAATAGGAGATGATTTTAATGATTTTATTTTAATTAATTAAATGTGTTTAATTTGATTAGGAGTTATGCTTATTTAAATTAATTTTATAATTTGTTATTAATATGACTAGGAATTATGTTATTACCTAGGCTTTTTAATGATTGGAAGTTGCAGGAAGTTTTATGTATTATTTCTCCTTTAAAAGCTAGAAAGTTTGTTCATTGTACAACATTTTGAAAAGTAGAAACAAAAATTAATTTATTCGAACTAATAATAGAGGTCAGAACAAACCTCAATGCCCAAGTCAGCCTTTCGCTTCTTCCCTTTTGCAACTGCAACAATATCATAAGGAGAAAATAGTAATTTTCTCTACCAGAAACTAAAAAAGGATAAAACCAAAAGTTACGCATTATCTCCACCATCATCATTGATCAATTCTTTGACAACTGAACCATGCACTTTTATGAGTAAAAGTAAATAGATGATCAATAAAAATCACACGGCTGAAGGTCATTGATCACAGTTTTGACAATACATTAATAAATGCAGATTAAAGGAAGTAACCCATATTTACATGATAAAGAATCATACAGTCGAGTTTCAAAATAGTTGAGTTCATCTGCCACAGGATATGGAAAGTGGTAAGCGAAGATGTAGAGGAAAGTAAATTGATAGGAACAGAAGAACAACATACCATTGTTCTTAGTCTCCTCATTATCCAATTTACTATCTGTAAAATCCAAGGGAGAAAAGAAACTCAGAAATACAGCAATATCTGATTACCATTGTCAAACAAATAAAAAAGAAAAAAGAAAGAAACAAAGATAGAAATATTGACAACCTCTCCAGCAGAAAAAAAGATTAGAAAACTGGTTTTCTATATTGCTCTCACCAGAGGAAGAAGAACATATGCAAGGACAGCTAGTATTTTTGTGTATATTCCTGAGGATTCAATGAACCCAATGGGTTATATTGGGCAAAGTTCAGTATTAAGGATGCGAAGGCCTTTCCACCTAAAGAGAATCTAGCCAAAATGAGATGGCAGTTATCATTCCCAGTTCTTTGTTTGGGTGCAAAGAAGAACTCCCACAAACAAAACCCCAAAGAACAACCACGGAACCACCAAGGGCAGAGATGGTTAGGTGGTATTCTAAACTCAAATGAATGGAGATTCAAGAGTTTTCTAGTGCAAACATTACTTTTGGACGGGCGTTGCTACTTTACTTTGGAAGTCATACCAGATGAACTTTTTGGTTTCACTTGTGACGAACGCCCTGACTTCGCATTCTTGTCCACGCCAGCTTTCTTATCAAGGGCCTGCTGCTTCAAAACATTCTCTTCAATATGCTTCATCAACCGATCCATGCCTACCCATTCATCCCAACTATTGACAAGATATTAATAGCTTCAGTGAGTAATTCTGTATGGATCATTTGATGTCTACGACATTCAATATGCTGCTTAATAACTTCATTGGTTTTTGAAGTAATTATAAAATCCAAAATAAATTATTTGTCATAGCAGCATATCATTGCTTGGCCATTCATTGAATTTCCAACCACTAAATTGGAGGTTTACATGAAAGGATTAGGATGAGGAGCTGGTCAACTCAAATTTATGCCACGAGTACAAATATCAGTTGTAGGTCATTAAACTGCTAGTTTATATCCTATCAATGCAAAGCATGGTCCACATCGATGGCTAACAAGGCCAAGACAAACTTCAGGGACATCAAAACCTCTAAATGGATCTTTATTATACTCCTATTCAAATTTCTCATACCCAGTATTTGAAATCTAAAAGCTCAGTCAATATCTTAAATAAACAGGATTAATTTGAATAGGTTCACCGGGTGAATGAACTAGAAACAGATAATATCATTACTTGCAAGCAACACAGATGAATCATGTTTTTACCATTGCTAAAATATTACACTTAATACAATTACTAGAAAATGAAAGTATTGTGACAGAACTTAGTTGACAAAAGAGAATAGAAAAGGTGCATTTCTCAAACTGTTCTCTATACTCTTGAAGATAAATTCCTTCCATTTTTTCACCTTTCCTTTAATACAAAGCATTAAAGATAAGCAAAGGAAAATCAGTTTGAAGCTAAGACCGTGAGAAGTCCATATACTCCTTCAGCCAACAAATACAAGTAGTGATTTAAATTTGCATGGGACTCAAAATATGCGGCAAAATGATATGTATCTCATTCCAAATTGCAGCCTCATATGGATAGTCGAACTAGGTTTGATGACCCAAACCATTAGCCACCATTAAACATGTGATTTTCCTTTCTCGTTTATTCATTTCGCTTGGCTAATAGCAGGGCCCAACCTAAGTAGAAGTGAAGCTAAGTCCAACCAACTTGTTGGGTAAATCACATGCACAAAAATCAATTTTTTGAAGATCATTTTGTAAAAAGAAAATGTCCACACTAGTATACAAGTACAAGATGGAAAAATTTGTAACCTTACCTCCTTTATTAAAATAATTTCCTATCATTGGCATTATTCAACAACGACCAAAACTTGCTCAGTGTAAGTAATAATTACAAAACAACTTACTACAATAGTAGCATTACAAACAGGTATCTGGTAAACTAATTTTTAATGCTCAAATTCCAATTCATTTTAGAAACTCCTTTTTTTATTGATCCTGAGACTTCTCTTGTGCTAATGCACTCAACTTTCAGATATCAGCCTATATCTTTGATTCTTTCCTAATTATCTCACTGATAAGTCATTCCCTCACATTCTCTTACAATTGTGGTTTTTGTCTTCAGTAATTTCAGATCATAAAATTCAAAATGTTCCTTCATTACGGTTCTAGTTTATCATATTATAAACTAATTTTTCAATTGATCTCCTCCCATCGTCAAAATACAAAATTCTTTGTTCTAGTTATTTGGTATTCTGCATTACCCTCAGTTCAATCACTGTCGTAGGTTCATATGACGTTAGTTACAACCTAATGCATCATTCGTACAATGAGGGATAATAACTTTGCATGTCTGATTCAATAAAATTAGAAAATTCTTATGAAAGTGAAAAATATCATGAAAGCAGCAAACAATGTGAGAACCCGAATACATATACCAGGATCAATAATGCAAATTATCAGTACTAAAAGGCTGTAAGCAATCATTGACACAGCTTTCACCTTCCAGGACACAGAAACAGAGTTTTGGTGTGACTTCGCTGATGGAAAAAGCGCAGAGGCCAAGAAAAATTTCCGTCCCCCCCACCCACGCGCCGTTTTTCCTTGAAAACCTGGAAAAGGCTTTCCCCAAAGCCTTTTCCAGGTTCTGCCAATTATTTTTTTTTTTTGCCAATGAAAACAAATTTCATAACCAATTATTAAAAAAAAAATTCACTTTAATGGACAATTTTCATGTCAAACGAAGCCAAACGAACACTAAATTTTGATAAAAAATAGTCCTCGAGCAAATTTTTTTTTTTTTTTTTTTACTTTTTGGCAATGTTAACAAATTTCATAACCAATTGTAAAAAAAAATCATTTTAATGGACAATTTCCACGTACAATAAAGTCAAACGTAAACAAAAAAAATCCAAAATTTCAAAAAAAATTTGGGTGGAAAATTATACAAATCAAACACACTTAATTAATAATTCCATGCAAAACAATTTCTAGACAATTACTTTCCCTAAAATTCATTTTCTTTCCACCCATTTTTCACCCTTGCAATCAAACGAACCATATGAATCTTTCTCTTCTCCTTACACCTCCTCATCCACAAATAATTATAATCTCCAAGTTGCCAAAATCGAATTTAAAATTTTTAATAAGATCATCGTAACTTCCACATGAATTCATTGTTTACCTATGTTTAGAATCTTCTTATTAGTATTATTATCTTTGTCTTCAACATACTAACAAATATTACACACGCATGCATGCGCATAAATATATTGTAACTCCATTTCTACTTAACTAAGTTTCTCATGGTTCATATATCTAATTTGCTAGTGCTGCTGCTTAGCTGAAAATTGCAAATATATGGTTTCACAGTGGGATAGATGAGAAGCTGAGAAGGCATCCAACAAAAGCGTAGCTTATTGATCCTAGAAAAAGTTTTAGAACGAATGAAGACTCATAACTGACCACTTGTCGAATATAGAACCAAAGACCTAAATTAGAAGAGAGATAAAATGAAATGATGGACCAAGTAGGACCCTGACAAATGCAAAAATTAAACTATTGATTCTAGTTCTTTTTCAGTGGTAAAAAATCTGAATCCAGAAAACGAAATTCACTTGAAGTACTGAGGCAGCATACTCACTTTTTATTCCAACCCTGCAAGAACGAAAACAATACATTCAAATGACATCAACGGAAGAAAACGGCAAGTCCTACTTATATTAGTCTGGGAAACACAATGTAATCTAGTCACGCGGGTCCACGGAAGACAGAGAAAACCCTCAACAGACATCACCAGAGTAATAGAAAAATAAACAAAAACAATGACTCAGAAAAGTGGAAAAATCAAAAGCCAATAATCCAACTTACAAGGTAATGGACATGGTATTTCCATTCATTCTTCCGAAACTCTACTTTTTTAACCTAGCACGCAAAAGAAGCAACCGATCGAAAAAAATTTCAACCACCAATAAAATTTGTAAACTTAACTTAAATAATGCAAAAAATCGCGAAAATAAGGTAATTCGAGTTAACATAGAATAAAACCCTAAAGAGGGTCGGTTTAGGGCATTGCCTTGGCTTCATAGATACGGGGACCATGATAGGCAAGGACCTTCTCGCCTGCGGCAAAAAGGCACTCTGAATTGGACTCCGGCGCATTTCCAGAGGAATTCTCGAGGTCGCCTCCCGGTTCATCCTTCGAACTACTCACCATTATCTTTTTTATCTCTTTCTTTTTCTTCCCCAAAATTTGGACGGAATTTTATTCCTGTTCTGATAAAAACAACAAGAAGCGAAGAAATTTTACTCTGCTATGCCTTCGCGTTTTGTTGCGAACTACGAATTGGAAGTTCCGCGGAGGAAGAGAGAGAGCAGTTTTGGGGTGGTTGAGCACGGAGGAGGGGGCAACGGACAGATGTGTTTCCCACTTCTTTGCCGGGGTTTCAAATTAAGCTAAGGGTGCAGTGTGTTGAATTTGGGAAATAATTGAAAATACCCCAAATTTATTCATAGCTTTTCCAAAATAGCCTTTGATCATTCCAAACTTTGAAACTACCTAAATACCCCTAAAAATAATAATTGCATCTAAACCACTATAGAAAGAATACAATCAAGTCCTATAAAAAAAAATTATCATAAAAATGACCAATAAAACTTATAAAAAACTCATATCTAAAAGAAGACCATATAAGATTAAGAAAATTATGAAAAAACAAAAAGAAATTGAATTTGAAAATGAATTTGATAAGATCGGATATCAAGAACAATTAAATGCATATCAAAAAATATTAAAATGTTTTAAGGAAAATATGATGAAAAAATTTGTTAAGGGAATAGTAAGATCTATAATAATTAAAAATATACAGGATATTATAGATAAATTGAAAAAAAAGGAAAAATAATATTTTAAAATACGATATATCTTTTAACCCAAATATAGACGTAATGGCAGATCTTGATATTATAAATTCTCAAAAGTTATTAGATTTTGAAGAATTACTTAAAACCCTATAAATGAGAAAACATATTACAAACAGATTACCTTAAACATATAAAGATTTAAAATTTGAGTTAACATTAATATTTTATATAACCATAATAAATAATAGATTAAGTTTAAAGAAATTAAAAGAATACTTAGAATATTAAAAAATTTCTAAATAACTATTTTAAGATTATTAGATTATTTGATTTTTGTTCGCTCATAATAGCACCCCCTTAATTGGTATCAGAGCCATAGGATCTATAAAGAACTATAAAAATCATGAAAATTACAATCACTAAAATAAATAAATATTATATAAGATAATGGAAATTGAAGATTTATGTAATAAATATAAAATAATAAAAAGAGAAAATTTTAATATAATAATTACAAAACCAATATTATGTAATGAAATAATAAAATTTACACTAAAGGCACTTGAAAAATTACCTATAGAAATAAGACAATTTATAATTGAAAAAATAAAGTTAGGAATTGTTAAAGATATGTATACTTATGAGATAATATTATAAACCTTTGAAGAAAACATGTATAATCTAATTAAAGAATAAATAAATAAGTATGAATAAAAATAAATAATTATAAAAGTTATGGAAGTTACAATTACAAAAATGGATTGGTATTATAAGTTAGAATAAAATAAAGGAGATTATATATTTATAGAACTCTTTCATAAAAAATTAAAAATAATAACATTAATTATAGTAAAATAATTGCCTATAGAAATAAGAGAAAAAATACTAAATAAATTAATAATAGGATCCATAAGAGATGAGTACATATATGAAAAAATNTAAACTAATAATATGATCCATAAAAGATGAATACATATACGAAAAAATTATTACAGAATTTGAAAAAAAAAAAAGAAATTATGTTATACTGTAAAGAAAATTATGAAACACGTGAATTATCATTAATTAATTCTTAACTAAATATGGAAAAAATGAAAAATAATTTGACTAAGAAATTAGAAAGAATAAAAATAATAAATCACCAAATACTAGATGAATTATTAACTCTTGAAAAATTAACAAAATATCAAGAAAACTAAATATTAAAATTAAAATAAGAAAAATATAAGGAAACAACAAATTATTATAAAGAATTAAAATGACTATCAGATAATGAAAAACAAAAGTATGATAGAATTATAAAAGATTGTAAAGATGCTTAGTGTAGAACATATTATTTCAACAAATCAAAGAAAAGATAATGAACAATTATATGGAAGAATTAAAAGCATTAATAAAAATATTAAAAATTGATGTACAAGATCTAATAAATGAATTTAAAAATGAGATAAATATATTAAAAATTGAGATTAGGGAATTAAAAGAAAATAATAAGAGTAAAGATAAAAAAAAATGGATAAAAAATTAATAGAAAAAGAGATGTCGAGAATTGGAAAGAAATACGTAGAACAAGAAAATTTAGTAATAGAAGCAGGAAGTACGGATGATGATTTTAGAAGAAATATTTTACCAAAAATATTAGAAGAAAAAAATTTCAAAAAATTATTAGGAAAAGGAGGAAAATTGAAGAAGATAATAAAGATGAATGAAGAACTAGATTTATTAATAGAAAATTTTGATCAATTAAGTTTATAGAATATAGATGAATACCAAGTTCTAATGAATATTGGAGGAAGATCTACTCCAACAGAAACCTCTAACCAAAATGAAAAGTTTGATCCAAATTAAAGGTATGCACCTATATATAATAAATCATATAAACAATTCTACGATAAGGTAAGAGATAGACAACCACCCAAAAGAAATAAATATAGAGATAGAGTTTGTTTGGGAAGGATTAAAATCCAATTAAAATTGAAAATATAGTCGTTATTGGGTCCCACTCGTCTAATAAAAGTCAACTCCAACGACTATGTTTTCAATTTTAATCTGATTTTAATCCCTCCCAAACAAGCTCATAGCAATTAAAAATTGAGATTAGGGAATTAGAAGAAAATAATAAGAGTAAAGATAAAAAAAAAAAAAGGATAAAAAATTAATAGAAAAAGAGATGTCGAGAATTGGAAAGAAATACGTAGAACAAGAAAATTTAGTAATAGAGGCAGGAAGTACGGATGATGATTTTAGAATAAATATTTTACCAAAAATATTAGAAGAAAAAAATTTCAAAAAATTATTAGGAAAAGGAGGAAAATTGAAGAAGATAATAAAAATGAATGAAGAACTAGATTTATTAATAGAAAATTTTGATCAATTAAGTTTATAGAATATAGATGAATACCAAGTTCTAATGAATATTGGAGGATGATCTACTCCAACAGAAACCTCTAACCAAAATGAAAAGTTTGATCCAAATGAAAGTTATGCACCTATATATAATAAATCATATAAACAATTCTACGATAAGGTAAGAGATAGACAACCACCCAAAAGAAATAAATATAGAGATAGATTTGAGTTAAATGATAATTATGATAAATCAATTAATTATGGAGGAACAAAATTAGACCTA